CCAGGCCTTAATTCCCCCTTCTGAAATGTGAAGTATGTATGTTGTAAGAGGTCTTGAAGATAAATTCCCTTTTAGGTATGACATTCTAAAATTAGTTTTTTATAAACTAATTATGAAGAAGTAAAAGATTCTGAAGGTATACTTTTAAAGAGAAAGGTAGTGAAGAAAATTAACTTTGTTTAATTAAATTCACTGAAAATTATTTAGCCAAAAACTGTTTGGTAAATGATCAGTTCACTGAATGACTAACAGACCTAAAGTTGTCAAACCAAACACCTTAACCCAGATTTTAAATATTCACCACAGCTATTTTATTGGGATAGATACGGGTCCCAATCCAGAAAAACATGAGTGAAATTCATCTATTCACTTATATAACATTGAGCATTTCAGAAGAGCTAGCCATCTCAAATGTTAACATAGGAAGCTGACACTAAGTGTCCAGGGACTAAATATCCAGGTGAAATTCCTGCAGCAAATTCTTAGTGATATTAAAACTTAAAAAAGAAAAAAAAAATCAGTAACTTGGCAAATGGATCATTCAGTGAATTGGCTTTTGGTGGACTGGTTTACTTCATTTACTTATATACTGCTTTCGACCCATAATAAATCCACTTACTTGTGGACAATTGGTACAGCTTTCTGTCCCAGCCGCTAAACTCTTTTTCTAAATTCATTACTCTCATGATGTGGTCCTTGAATCACCTGCGTTAGAATGGCCTGAGCCTGAGGTCCTAGTTAAAAACGATCCTTTTGGGGAGAGGGCTTTCTCTAGTTTACTTTTAGAGAGTGCTATGCCTTGTACAGAGTAGGTGCTTCAACAAATGCTTAAGTAGTGGAAACTGTTTTTATACTATATTAAGTATAGTCTTATAGTGTGCTTTTGTAACGTGTTACAGTGGGCAGTATATAGTGTACTTACATAACTTATTTACCTTCATTATTTTGCTTTTTCTTCTGAAATAAAACATAAACCCTTTTCCATCTCTTTGTAGTATTTATAGAAGTGAATGTGTTATTGCTAAAAATTTAAATTAATAACTCTTGAAAGTGGTATTATAATAGTGTAATATATAATAGACTTAATAACCTGTCACCACCTCCTTAGTGTTGATAATTATCTACTTTTTATCCATATCTTTAATTCTTGGTCAAGAAAGATTACTTTTTAGGAACCATTTCCTATCTTAGTCTTAGAAATTAAGAAAAAGAATTAATGAACTATTTTGATGCATAATTTCTGATTGACAAAAAAAGCTTATAGCATATAAATCAAGTGATATAAATTGTATTTACTTTTCCTGAGGAAAAGCTTATTGAGAAAAATGCTTCTTTTTTTTTCCTTTCCCACAATATTTTGGCTACTAGTGAATTAAAGCTATAAATTAAGCTTCTGATTTTCCTAATAATCCATTTCTCATTTTCTAACATCCAGGAGTCAGAAGACATTATATGTAGCCCAATATATGTAATTTCCTTAGAAAGTATTTATTTTATAAATGCAAGGGCAGAATGTAAACAATAATGTCACTACATTTCTCTGGTAAGTTTTGGGCTCCAAATATTCTATCTGTTTTTTGACACAGGTATGTTTTCCTTGTTGAATAAAAACACAGCAATGTAAAAATTGTAACTGGATAAAAAAAGAATAATTGATTGAACTCTTTAAATCTTGCCTAAAAGTTGATTTTATTATTAATAAGATACTTTAAAAACTGAATGCAGATTCCTATTCAGACCCTTTTTATTAGTCTCTCTCTTCATCTCCAAGTGCCACAAATGTCAGTTTTATATTTTTCAATTTATGTGATGCATGCTGCTGTGGTGCCTAACAGCATAATAGAAAAATGAAAACCTAAGCTAATCAAAAGCTTCCCATAGTGGTGAACATAAAATTGTTTTGATGGCTTCCTTCTTAGTGGTTTATGGCCTAAAAATGCAGTTAGTACAACTATTGTTCCTGTTGACTTCATTTGAAATCTCAGCAAAAAAATCCTTATTTTCCTCAGAATTAATTTTTTTAATTACTTTTAACATGGAATTACTTAAAATAATTATTATAGTTATTATTTTTAACATATAGATATGGACTAGATGTATGCATTAATTTTTTTGTGACAGTTCTGTCAACATCACGTTGGCTGAGCTTTTTCATGACTGAATATTGTGATTAGTTACTGATGAAGTATAAGAATATTTTGTAACATCAGTTAAGTACATGTAGTGGTTAAGAGCACAGGTTTTAGCGTGAGACAGTCTTGGGTTCAGATCACAGTTCTGTTCCTTATTATCTCTGTTCCTCAGGAAATTATTTAACCTCAGTGGGCCTGAATTCCCTCAATTGTACTGTAGGGACAGTAAGAACCGCTATATTAGATAGAGTTGTTGTGAAGATTAAAGCATATTAACATATTCAAAATGCCTGGAATAAAGCACAGTGCTAAAGCGCGGGATGTATCTATCTTTGGTTATGGTAACAGGAGTAGTATTTGTATTTTTTGTACCCATTGAATGAGACATTCATAGACTCCTTGCCCCAAGTTAGGAATCATGGCATAAAATATAACTCAAGAACTTGTGAATGGTTTTGGTGCAGAATTGCCCAAAGTAGTTCGGTCTAATTCCTAGTTTGAAATTCTTTTAAGAAAAAAAGCACATTTGGGTAACTACAGTATGGCCTCAGGGATAGAAAAGACAGTCTGGGGAATATAATTAATAATGTAAATATTTTTTAAGGGGCCAGATGGACTCATGTCTTGTTAGGGAGACAACTTCATAGTCGGTGTAGAGGCCTGACCACTGCACTGTATTTCTGAAGCTGATGTTGAATAATATTGTATGTCAACTATAATTATATATACATATAGTTATGGGACGTGGAGTAGAGGGTGGGAATGGAGTCAATGGAATTGTAATAGATAAGTATAATATCGGGGGTTGGGAGGGCAGTAGATGGGGGAGGGGGGTTATTTCTGTGCGAAGGGTGAAAAGGCTAGCTATTGCATTGCTCTGTACACCTGAAACTAACAATAAAAAATAAATAAAAAATAAAATTAAAAAAATAATAATAACAGTACCTCAGGAAAAAAAAAAGAAAAAAAAGCACATTTAAAAATTTTTCTTAACCATTACATTAAATTAGCTCTTTAAAAAAAAAAAGAAAGAAGAGGTACAATATAATAGAACATTATTTTGGAAGGATTATTTTAAAAGGAAGCCTTTCCTGTATATGAACATATTACTTTGGACATACTATAAGTAAGTTAATATAAGAATGTGTTTGTTTTGATTGACATATGGAGGATAATGAAAACCAGACTCAGATTGTATCTATGCACTGAGCAGGATTATATCTATAACACACTAGCATTATACTATTGAATATGCTTCTGTCAGGAAACTTATAATGAGAAATCTCAAATAGACACAAAAGTACACAGAATAATATACCATGTATCCACCATCAGCTTTAGAAATTATCACATGGCCAGCATTGTTTTACATATACCCTCATCTGCTTCTTCTCTTCCATAATGTGTGGAAGCAAATCTTGCATGTCTTATTTCATCTTTAAATATTTCAATTTATATCTCTAAAAGGTAAGGACTCTTGTTTTCTACAAGAGTACCACAGTACCATTATCACACTTTAAAATAATTTTTTTTTTGAAAGATTTTTATTGGGGAATTGGGAGATGAGAACAGCGCTGGGGAACTGGAGAAGGGGAACAGACAAGTTGCTATCTTTATGTGTTCTTCAGTCTAGTTGTGGAGGATGTTGCTTCACTGGCCCAAGTTGGCACCATCATTGTGCTCTTCCTGAGGCAGATCAGTCACCGGCTTCTGGACAGCTGCTCACGCTGGCTGCTGGCTACACACGGTAGCCATGGCAACCCACTGCAGCAGGAGCTGCCACAAAAGCTGTTGCCTGCGACTCAAGGCAGCCCAGCTCCAGGTTGAGCTGTTGTTCAGCATCTTAGCTGTAGAGGGCAGTGTCACTGCCCTCCCTCATATGTAGGATCTGAACCGGGGCTCTCTGGCGCCCCAAGACAGCTCTTAACCAACTTGCCACTTGGCCGGCCCTAAAATAATTTCTTGATATCCTCAAATATCAGTTACTATTTAAATTTTGCAATTGCCTCGCAATTGTTGCAATTTCTGAACAGTTTGTCTGTTTGAATCAATATCTAGATAAAGTCCACACACTGGATTGTTTAATACATATTTTTAAGTCTCCTTTAAACTTTCCACAGCCTACTGTCTCCTTGAAATTTACTTGTTGAAGAAACTTGGTAATTCGTAGGATTTTCTACAGACTAGATTTTGCTGCATAGTTTAACATATTTCTCACTGTTTTCCTGTGAAGTTATAGTAATTAAGTCCAGAGGCTTAATCAAATCTAGTTTTGATTTTTTTGGTGGGGTAAGACTAGTTATAGGTGATGGTGAAATGTCTGTCTGATTGTCTCTCTTTTTGGTGATTGGCAACCATGCAAATTCAATGATTAGATTCATTAATTCATCAGATATTGCAAAATGCTGATACTTTAACATTTCTTCTTGATTTGTTAGCTATAATATTTTTATAAAAACAAACTTTTATCTATTATTTGAATAACCTTATGTTTGACTGAACTGATAACCCTTGAGAACAATCCATATAGGGGTGTCATCACACAACTAATATTTTCAAATATCTGCCAATTTTATGGTCATTAAAGTTCAGAAATGGTGATTAAAAATATGTATCTATGTTTATGTTGATAGATACAGATATAATTCTCTCTATGTATTTAAAGTTTAAGTCATTAAAGTAAGAATACCAAAAATATGCCAAAGGCCATGAACAATTTTAAATTTTGTTAAAAAATAAAATTTGTAAATTTTGTACAGGTTTTTAAACTTTCAAAATGTCTAAATTTACCTAGACTTTTCTAGCATACTGATCACTTGTGTTTATTTTGTTGGTAATCTATTATTTCTCTAAAATGTTAATTAAAAGGGGATGCAGTGGTGTCTTTTGAAAGAAGAGGATGTCATTCCTCGCATCAGGGCAATGGAAAGCCGCAGAGGAAGACCACCAAACCCAGACAGGCAGCGAGCCCGAGAGGAATCCAGGATGAGACGTAGGAAGGGTCGACCCCCAAATGTTGGCAGTGCTGAATTTCTAGATAACACAGATGCCAAATTACTAAGAAAACTGCAAGCTCAAGGTGAGAAACAATGTATTTGATGCTGCAAAAGCCACACTAAAAAGTATAAGTGTTTCTTAAGTTTTTGACTTATGAATAATGGACACTGCTCTCAATTTCTGAAAAATAGATATTTGCGTTTAAATAAACATAAGAAAATAAGGAGTCCCACTGGTAATTGGAGTTCTTTGATTAGGTAAGCTCCTCTAAGGGCCATCCTCTTAAACACACCATCCCCTGTGTGTTTAGAATTACAAAGGTGGGTGATGAGTTTCTAAGACTTGCACAGAAAGGGACTCAGCCGCGCTTGGCACACACATTCAGGCTGTGCCGACCTCCTGGAAATTCTCATTTTAACAACTCTCGATTCCTGGAGGTGGTACAAGGGAATAACTCCAAAATATGTGGATCTGTGGAATAAATTTTCAGTCAGAACTCCAATTACTGGTAAGTAGCCCCGTCTGTTAGCTTGGGTTCTTCTGTAGGCTGGATATATTACATAAATTTTTAAAATGCCCAACTAATAGATTTAAATCAAAATGTATTTAAGATCAACAAAAAGAGTTACTTATAAAGCACAAAGTGTTCATAATAACATCAAATGTATTTATGACTTAAAATTATACATAAATTATCAACACAAAGTTCCCCTACTATGTCTGACACAGAGAAAGCTGACTAAAATAGTTCTGATATGAGTTTGAGTTACAAGTTACAAATATGAAGCCTCTTAAGGCTGTCTGAATATATATCAATATATGCACTGTGTGTTGTATTTACAAGCATATATATAAACATCATTGTAATATAAAGTTTTAATTATAAAAATTGACATAAAAGACTAACAGGATTTTAATACTTCTCATGGTTTTTTTCTGGAGGAAAAGCCTGACTTATTTTTATTTTTTGTAAATACTGTCATATTGACTTCTTTGTATCTGCTTTGTTTTTATTATAGAATAAATAAGCACGACAAAAGCTCATAGAACAAAATCCTTTAAAAGACACTAATTCTTATTCACTTTATTTTTTTTTTTAAGATTTTTTTTTTTGGGGAATTGGGGGAAGGGGAACAGACAAGTTGCTGTCGTTTTGTTCTTCAGTCTAGTTGTGGAGGATGTTGCTTCACTGGCCCAAGTTGGCACCATCATCGCGCTCTTCCTGGGCGAGGCACATCAGTTGCTGGCTTCTGGACGGTCGCTCACTGCGGCTGCTTGGCCGCTCACGCTGGCTGCTGGCTACACACGGTAGCCCATGGCAACCCACTGCAGCAGGGGCTGCAGCTTATGCTGTCTCAGGCGACTCAAGGCAGCCCAGCTCCAGGTTGAGCTGTTGTTCAGTATCTTAGCTGTAGAGGGCAGTGTCAGTGGCCCTCATATGTGGGATCCGAACCGGGGCCCTCTGGCATCCCAAGCCAGCTCTTAACCAACACGCCACTCAGCCGGCCCCTTATTCACTTTAAAATAAAAGGCACTTGTGAGTGAAATCATTAACAGTTTCTGTTCATCTACCTAGAAATGTGTACATGTGCGCGCGTGCGCATGCGTGTGCACACACACACACACAACCACTCATAGATAATATATGCATAAATATGAATATATAATATGTAATATACTGTACATCTTTTTTATTTCTAAAATAAATGGATTTATAGTGTACACACTATCAGCTTATTTTCTTTCCACTTAATTTATCTTGAACATATTTCTGTATCAGGGCTTGTAAATCCACCTTATGCTTTTTAATGGCCGAATAGCAATAAGTGATGGCATTTATTGCTTTACCATACTTCATTTAATCAGTCTCTTTGTGATGACTGTTGAAGCTATTTCCTGATCTCTGCTATCACAAACAATGCTGCAATACATATGTATTACACATACCTTCACATCCTTCTATAGGTATAGCTATCTATAATATAAAATCCTAGAGATAGAATCTCTGAATCAAAGGGTATGTGCATTTTCAGTATTGGTAAATAGCAGGCAAATATTGTCTCTAAAAAGGTCACACCACTTTATACTTCCACCAATGGCATGTAGTTTATTGCTTAGAATAAAATGTAATGTTGTATAAGTTTGTCTCAGTCTTAGTATGCTAGTTAAATATTTTTTATGTTATTTTATTTGGTTTCTATTAAGACTTTCATGTCTCCTGAGTAGTTAACTTAGGGAAGGTTTTTAAAAAGTTAATATATTAACAGATTAAGCTGTATATGGCAAATTTTTATAATTAGTATTGTCAATAAACCACTAACTCTTCTAAAAAATATATCACACAATAGTGAATGTGCATTGCTTGCATAAAATAAGAAAGCTTAAAATTAACTGATACCCAAAGCATGGGTTCTTCATGCATGTTTTTCATTTCTAATATAATTATGAATACTTAGTGTCCAAAATGACAACCCTGTATTTGAAAAATTAACTTAATTTTATTTTATCATAATAGAAGTTAGTTATTCAACTTTTACCCAATCGTTTTTCTCCTTTTAGATTTCAAATTGATATGTATTCTATTACATAGTTCTCCTTTGTTGTATTATGTTGCATTTTGCAAATTTTGTTCCCTTTGAACTTATTGTGTACATATGTTCTTTCTCAACATGTATATAATTATTAAATATTTAACAGTAAATTAGTAATTACTAATTATAAGTTTGTGGGGTGTTATATGCATGCTTTTCCTTCGGAAGAAAAAAGAGTAGAAACAAATTACTTTATAACCCTTTTATTTCTAAAAGGCTTCTACATTAACAATTTGCGGGAGAGTTCATCTGAGGGGATTCTAAAAGTTTGTTATATATTATTATCTTGCTAGCACTCAACTAGACTGAAAAATTGGACCTAACTTGAAGAAAAGTTCAGAACAGTTAAAATGAGTACAAACATTGAATGCATATCCAAACATTATGAAATCAAAGTTAATTACTCAGAGAATATAGATAAAAGTTTTTGAATATGAATATACAAGTTTTGAATATGAGAAAGACTTTTCAACCTATATAAACCTACTTGTTAATTGGCTATTACCATTAATAACTCAAATTTTCTAAGCTATCAAGTAGCACCTATTCATTTCATATAGAAGCTGAGATGCTGTAGTTTATACAATGCGCCACTGTTTTAAGATGTATCCCTAAGAAAGAAAAGTGCTGTCAATTGTCAGACACTTTCTGATTTTAGGCATGTCTAAAAATGCATCTTACTATCAAAGAAATGTAGAATATCCAAAATATTCCTAATTCTATGTAGAAATAAACTTTATTTCAAAAATAAACTTTTTTCTTTGAAACTTAAGCAGACAAGTAATTTCTTAAACCATAAGGGGAATTTTTCAAATTAATATTTCAAAATTTAGTGTTAATAGATAATATTTTCAGTAACCATAAACCAAATAAATAAGATGTTAGGAGCAGTTTATTCCTCAGAGCCTGAGTGAATTTTCTAGGTCTCTAACTCATTCTCCTTTCTCCATAGTGTTCCTAATTTTTTAAACGTTTTTTTCACATCTGGTCATAATGTAAAATTTAACATATATAAATTTTTAGTGATTTATCAAAATTGTATCTTCTTTGGTAAAGTGAAAAGATACAAGTTGTGCTTTTAAAATATTTTTCTGTCCTAAGGGTTTAAAAAAAATTTACCGTGTATTTCTGTGAAGATTGAAATTAACTGATATATTCATGCACAAATATACACCTGTGTATAGTATAGAATTTCTAAGCCAAACTTCTGTTAGAGAGTATCAATTTTGCTTGGAAATAAGCTCATACTTAAGCAATATTTTCTAGGAAACATTTCTTTAACGACAACACATCCTTGCATGTTAAGACATATTTAGGTCTTTATCGCAGAATTCAGTGAAAGCTTTCAATTCTTAAATGTTAAATGTTTATCTGGTAGTAGCATACATGAAAACAGTATTCTTCCAGTGTATTATTATCAGAGGTTGCTGACACTGTGGGTCTGTTTAATAGATTTTTATTTCCCAGAGTATTTAGTGAACAGGTAATCCTTTTTATGTAGCTCAGAAATTTTTTTTATTTTTATTTTTTTACTTTTTTTATAATATCATGTCAACTGTCAGTAGCTCAGAAATTTTTTATGGTACTTATAGCCTCCTAATATTGAAAATTATTGGAAGATTGGAGCTATCCTTTAGCATCATCTTCCCTTTCATCTTTCATTAACATTTCCAGTTGACAAGACAAAATTAGACCCTTTTTACATCCCCTCCCCTTTTTTTAAGTCTTGATGATAGAAACTCAGTTATAGTAACCAACTTCACCTCAGCTGTTACAAGGACATAGGATTAAGTTCTTATCTAAAAATCTCAAGGTGTTCAAATGTTCTTAAAGGTTTCTAGAAATAATAGTATATAGACTGGGGAGTCAGGAAGACCTGGGTTTATATCTTGGCCCTGCTATTTAATTTCCTTGAGTCTAATTTATTTCATTTATAAGCTGGGTATAATGTTACCTATCTCATAAGGTTGTTATGAAGATTAAATAAGATTATGTAGATTTAATACAACAGTTCAATAAATGGTGGAAATTATTAGTAGATCTCAAGTGATTTAGGTATTACCTAATCATATTCATTATTGATGAATATAATATATAGGTTTCTTAAAACTCTTAATCTTCTGTAAAGCTGAAAACAATGTAAAGTGGTATTTTCTGAAATGATTTTAAGAACGGTAGAATACACTACTCTTATAATTAGAAGTATTCTGACAAAGTTTACTAACAGAGAAGGCATGCTGTTAATGCTTTCTGTGTCAGTTACCTGTTGCCACAATAAAGCTGGGAAACAACCATCCACAAAACTTCAGAGGTAGGTGTGCAACACTGAGGGGTAGATGGAGTCAGCTGGAGGTAAGTTAGGCAGCTCTGCTAATCTTGGCTCACCCATTGTTCACATATGGGGAGTCAGCTGGCTCCATGTGTCTCAACCCCCATCAGCGTAGCCCAAACATGTTCTTCTGGTCAAGGGCAAGACATAGGAGTAAAAGCAGAGTATAAGTACACTGTCAAACTTATCTTACATCGCAACTGCTAGTATCCTTTTTGCCAAAGAAGATCTCATGGCTGAGCTCCGAATCATGGAACAAGAAAATATATTTCACCTCTTGATTAAAGGAGCTGCAAAGTCACATTGCAAATGACATGGATAGAGACATGAATAAAGAACTGGGACAATTAATTATGTCAGTCTATCCCAGTCATACATTTGTCCTTAAGAATTATAAGAACTAAGTTGTCCTTTAAACTCATTGACATTCTCTACTCTTTTTATTTAGATTTAGACCCTCTCCTTCATAAATGAAATTTTCACTGCATTCAGAAACTTTACTATTTATATGTCTGATTGAAGTATTAAGTTTAGAGGGCTTTGTATCTTTTATTTTGGGTTTTTCTTTTTTATATATTTTGTTATTTTTAAGACTGAGGCTAAATCTTTTTTACATATTAGCAGCTACTTTCCTACTAAGTGGAGATTACACCAACTGTGGGGGAAAAATGTGCTTAGATTAGCCTCTGTGATGAGAATTAAGAGAAGCATCATTTTGGGTACTTTCTGTATATGGGGTCATATTTGATGAAATAGTTTGGCAATTTCCAGGGAAAAATAAATATGACATCTCTGCCACACCATTCTCCTACTTAGTATCTAACCTTAGGCAATTTTCTTAAAAATTATGTCCTTCATAATGGTACCATTTTCACACAGTTCTTAGGTTGTTTTTAGATTAGCAGTTGTGTTAAGTTGTTAATTACATTCCTTGAAATTTTGTGTTTTTCAGAAATAGCCAGGCAAGCAGCACAAATAAAGCTTTTGAGAAAACTTCAAAAGCAGGAGCAGGCTCGGGTTGCCAAAGAAGCTAAAAAACAACAAGGTGGGTGATTTAAATGATAACAAAAACTTAAAGCGTGACTTTTGGGGAATTTATAAAAGCTTCTCTTCTTCATTCCTTTTCTGATGATATGTGTGCTTTGGTTTTTCATCGTAGCAATAATGGCTGCTGAGGAGAAGCGAAAGCAAAAAGAGCAGATAAAGATTATGAAACAACAGGTACGTTTACACATTGGAACTGATTTTTACAACACAGGAGTTATTTTGGAGATCTATTTGTATATATACATTATATTCATTTTGATTTGTGAAATAACTACTTCACATTAATGTTACGTATCTTATGTAGAAAGTTTTCATTTCCCATTAGTTAAAATTCACCTCATTTTTAAATCAAGCTTCTACTTCCAAGTTTTTAAAGAAATGACTATCAAACATAAATTTGTGTAAATACTTTTAATATCTTTGTAAACTTTTAATGTAAATTGACATCTTGAACAACTATAAGACTTTTAAAATTAATATATGAGTAATGAAAGATAGTGCTTAAATGTTCAAATATTAAAAACAAAAGCTTGTACTAAAATATGTAAAATACTAGTAAAAAATTAAATTCATGTTATGTAGAATAAGATTTGCCACCATTGCTTCTGAATGCTTTCACAGTTAAAAATTAAATTAAAATTTACTACTGCAGAAAATGAAGAAAGCATTATTTCAGTATATCTAGCATTCTATTGTCCTTCCCATATGTGGTTTTCAAAACTAATTGTCAATAGATGAAGTAATTTTTAAGTTCTTAAAGGCAAAGCATTACATGGTAAAATATTCAACTTCTTTAAGATGGGAATAGGTGACTACTCTCCCATCTCCACATATTCACGTAACCATTAAAGCAGAAAGGAAATTGGGGGAAACTACTTACTATTCTTTACAAAATTTTAAACAGCAAGTAATTAATTATGAATATGAAATGAAGCCAATTATGTTATTATGTAAATAGCTCTTAATTAAATGACTTGGGTTGAATATGATGTGGTTATCTCTATGGTTCCTTCCAATATTGACTAAGGCAGTATAATTAGAGAAAGTTGATATAGAATTGGGATTCAGAATTTAGATAGTCAGGCAGCCTACAGTTAAATATGGGCTCTGCTACTTAAGAATTTTGTGATAACTGCATTATCTGAAAATTAAATGAGATAATGAATGTAAAGTGCCTACCATAGTGCCTGGCACTAAGCAAATGCTCACTTTTTAAAAGATAGACATAAAATACCAGACTGAATGATGCACTTCTACAGTAATTTAAAGTAGTCAATTGTAAACTTGAGTTGCTTCCTGGGTTTGTTGTCACTGCTAAAGATACGATAGAGATGACTTATAAATTTGTAATCTAATGAATGCCTTTATTAAAATACAAATATTTACTGCATATTACATATATATGTAAAAATAAGTTCATATCTCATTTTAAAGTAAAATAATAGTGTTTCTGTTATGCTCTTTTTTATAGCTAATCCTAGGTCCTAAAGGCTAGAGACCCATCAAATCCCATCAGCACTTTAAACTCAGCTTTGTTGTCATAAAGTCTTGATGTGTACAAACTACATATACAGAGTCTTTGCTGCTCCTCAGAAAAGCTCTAGGGCCCCAGGTTTCCCAAAACATTAATACAAATGAGCTGATCTTCGATATTTGTCAAGATATTTATCTGACAAGTTTTAGAATACCATCTGACATTCCTTATTGACAACAAAATGAATCAAAGTATAGCATATAGGTCTACTCACATAGTCAGTTACACAATGCCTATTTTAAAATCAGCATTGGATCTAGAATACAATAATAGCATGCGCTTCTCATCCTCTGGGTTATTTTCTACCCAGTAGGCCAAAAATATCACCAGATAATCCTCAAGGCAGTTTTCTGGAAGCTTGAAGGAGGAGCAAAGGCACTGGGATCTGACCATGGCTCTGTGCTTATTATTGACTTTAGACAAACAATTTACTCTCTAGGAACTTCAATTTTCTCGTAGGTAAAGAAGAAGATAATTTTAACTTCTAAATTGTTGTTGCTGTTTATAATCAATAAGATATTTTATGTAAGTGTCCAGTTCAGTGGTTAGGTACTCAATTATTATATTATAATAATTTATTAATATTGTTTCTCCCTGTTAATGCAATGACAGCACCACCAAATATATGTACCTATATATATGAATCTTTTGGACAGTTTAGATAAAACTCTAGCCTGAGTGTGCTCAGCCCAAGATTCCACACCTGTCTCTGCATAAGAGAACAATCAATGACTTTGCTGACATGAGATCATAACACCTTACAACCTAATGATTGACAAAAGCAGAAAAATTAAATCAAGAGTATGCTTTACTTAGATCTCAAGTTCTAATCTGAATAGAATACTTCAAATACGGATCAAGTCCATCCTTCTCTAAGACTTGGAAATGAAACAAAAGATACACTTGAGTTTTTATTTTTGGCAAGCTATAATTAATATTCAAAACCAAGATAGGATCACCGACAGCAAAATCAGAATGTGATTAGTCTTCTAAAATAACAGTAATTCCAGAAGTCTCATTATCCTATGGTAGACCCCTATTGGGAATTGATAACATCAGTGTGCAGAAAAGAAATGTTTAAAAATATATTAAAGTAAAGCTTCAAAAGGTAAACTGGCATCTGGTCATTGGAGTGAGCATTGTTATATACAGCAGTATAAAATGGGTTGGCTCTGGAAATCCTAGCACAAATAGAATTTGCAAGTAGAAAAATTGAGGTTTTTTTTAAAGCTATGCTTTTATTCTCATCAGTGACTATTTGTGACTTGAAAGGGGTTCATGGACTTGCAATTATTAACAATTTGCTTATAGAATGAGATCATTTTTAAAATATCAAAATGTAAAGTTCTTATGAAAATTTTGATGGTCACTAAATTCTAAAACCAATAATACTTCACATTTAGGCAATGTGGCTACCAGTTATGTCATATGAGTCATTCTCTAGAATGTTATTGTAATTAATCCATTTTAAAATAACGTTACAGATTATTTCTGAATTTGGCTTATGGTAGTAGTTAAAGGCCATGTCATGTTATTTACCATGTGGAATAAGAAATTATACTGTGAAAATAGTTGTTAGTCATCTATTAAAATTGTGTGGCACTATATCCCTTTTTAAAGCATTTTAATTTAATCATGGCTTTCTGAGAAAGGGCAAGCACCTCTACTGACTTCATACAAGGGTAGTTATTTTCTCAAGATCGTGCAATAAATGACAGTAACTCAGGAGCAACCTTAGGTTTTCTGATTCCTGAAACACAATTTTTTCTGTCCTATATTTATTTCAAAGTAAGTATTGTTTGAAATTGAAAATATAAAGATCCACAGGTTAAATGAATTTCATCGGCTTGGTTTACTTGGTTTCTATATGCTTATTTAGCATTTGTATTTTATAAATTGTTTTGAGAAATTTTATAAAATTACATTGATTTGACATGAACATATATATAATGTTAAACTAATTAAATTTTAACCCACCATGGGTAACCTTTGGTAATTCTGTATTTATATCTTAAGTTCTTGGATTCCACTTAAATACTTTTCACCTAGATATTTATTTTATTTTATTATCTTAAGTTATCATAATTTTTCCTACAGGAAAAAATTAAGAGAATACAACAAATCCGAATGGAAAAAGAACTTCGAGCCCAGCAAATTCTAGAGGTAGAATTCTTAAATTTGATATAATTAGTAATATAGTCATATAGTTTAAAGTCTGCAAAAATAAAAATTCTGCCTATAAGTTCTCTCACTCATGCAAGTTAATATGTCCATCAGAAATTCTCTTTAAACGTAAGGCATAGAGTAAGATCTTATCTTAACCTTATTTAGCAGGCTCATCTAATCCTAACAGTAAAAACCCAAGAAATAAAAAGGGAAACCCACTGGACAGCCAGTATGGTTGTCATAAGGATCATGTGCTAAAACTCATGTTCTTTACTTTTAGAAAAGTCATTAGGACTTACAGGCAGCTATTTACTTTTAATTGAAAATAAAACATTACAAAAGTAAAAGTAAATTTTAGATGTGGAAACAATTTAACCAGCTTGATTTTCTGGTTTCTAATATATCCCTCTTCCCTACAAGCAGATGGAGTAGGGCTAGAGGACATATTTGGCATCAGCAAAAGTAATAGCCAAAAGGCAGCAAGGGAAAATATAAAAAAACTCCAACCACCATACATAGGAATTCAAGAGCCTAGTGACAGTCTGTAATCTTTTAGCTGAATAGTAAGCAATTTCAACACCTTCATAACTGAAAGGCATTACTCTGTCAAAACTGTGCAATATGATAATTAATGTTCAGAATAATTGTCCCACGCCATCAAGAAAAAGCCAAATTTTGCTTAGTGTACTGTGTCTAAGCAGGCATATGTCTCCAAGTTATTTCCATTTGAAGTAGTGAAAATAAACTTTGAATGGTTAAAATTATTATAACCTCTCACTTATTCAGGAAGCTATTGCTATATAGAACAATTCATTCCCTGAGGGCTCCACATAGCTGAGGTTTTCTGTTACAGGTTTCCTCCTTCTAGAAATACATATATTTCCTTTCCCATTTCAAATTAATTTAACCCCCCAATAGAAAATATTCCTACCTTAAAGTAAATTGATAACAACTACTAGATAGTTATGAAGCTCCTACATAGTAAATGACTTAAGATTATGAAGCTCAAATTTGATAGCATAATCTTGATATTCAAAATGTGCTTCATGAAAGGTAAGTTTTCATTCAATTAAAAAAACATTGAATTTAACCATAATATACAGCTAGGGAAAAATCAGATTTAATGTTTCATTTAAATGTTACTGATGGTTTTCTATATATCAAATTTCAAATATTAAAAAAGAAATTTCAAATAAAGTGGACATGTGCAAATGTTTAAGTGTTACTGATTTATTCTTTAAATAATTTTTATCAGTTAAAAAATATATACTGTTTTCTAAATTTTTTATTGTGCTCATGTTTTACTTTTAAAAATCAGAAAAATTTAATAAATGACATAGAATCTCTTTTCCTGTGATTGTTTTAAAGTAAAATAACAAACACAAAATTTCAGACTTTTAACAGGGTATTAAAGTAAGAAAAGCTGACATACTCTTATCAAGTTAAGAATTGTTTTATATCTTAATGTTAATCTGTATATCGGAAATGAAATTAGTATATTAAATGTAATGTTAACTGGGGGAGAATCTGTTATTGTCTGCGTATATGTTACATATTGTTTTGTATCTTGTGAGGCATGTAGCTCCGTTTTCAAGTCTGAGATTGTGTGAAGTTGTAGTGGTTTTGTTGCATGACTTTGAGACCTGTTTTGCATGCACAGGCTAAAAAGAAAAAGAAGGAAGAAGCGGCAAATGCCAAGTTATTGGAGGCCGAGAAACGAATAAAGGTTAGTTTAGATGAGAATCAGAGTTTTTGTTTTTCAAAAATAAAAACTGTATGATGTTATACCAGTATCAGTTATATGAAAAAAAAGTAGCTCTCCTCAAAAATGACTATCTAAAAAAATGTTTAGCACAGATACATGTGTATATTGTGTACTTTTATTGCTTTTATTGTATGTATGTGTGTGTGTATATATATATTATTTCATTATACAGATTTTTATGTGATGCTTTGAGCTCTTTAAATAGCAGGCATCAAATAAAAAATGCAGACTATTGCGTACTACCTGTATCTCACTTTGCTGGATAGGAATGACCTCCCCAAAGAAAGCTGTTTTGTGTCATTTATGTTTGTTTCAAATGATGTCCCAAATCTGATTCTCTCCTTAGATTATAATGTTCTCTTTGTTAATGCCCAGCAACTGTTTCACTATTAAAAAGTGAAAAGGCTACAGAAATGAAAAACCTAGCTTTATCAACTGTTATTTACCAAATAATATAGTTAGCCATTGTTAATATTGTAACATCACATGTTGTTTGGGGTTGTTTTGGTTTTGATTTTCTGGCATGAAGTGTAAGAGAATCGGAGGTATGCACCATACACACACACACACACACACACACACACACACACACTGCACTCCTTACCTTCCATTTGTTCATAACTGATTGTTGAAACAGGTCAGCTGAGTGAATCTGTGGCCACCACAATATAGACTATAAAACCAAGAACTGTCTGTTCTTTTTTCTATATAGACTCTGTTACTTTGTTCTTTAGATTGCTACCCCTTTTCTAGGCGGCCCTGAATATTAATTTCATCCATATCTTACTTTTATACAGATATTTAAACTGGTGACATGCATAGAATTGTTTATAGTAAGCCCTGCCCCCTTGGGATGGTGCCCTACATCATAGGCGAACATGAAAATCCCAAATTGATCCCATTGTCTCTTATTACTCTCCTTTATATATGGTATGTAGAAATGATACAGATGCTGTTTATTATAGAGTATATTTGGGGGTTTATATTCAGAGTAGAGAGAGTTCTAACCAAGTAGATTTGAGGGTTGTACCATAATGTATTAAAATAATAAAATAAAGTATATGTGCCACTTGTAACTGATATGCTCTGACCATCTAGCTAGTCAGTTCAGTGAATGTGCCATTGAAGTGTGCTTTTAGGTCACTGGATTTTAAGTTTAAATGGCTACTGAATACAGGTCCTTGCTACTATCATACAGTTTTTATGTATTAGGTAGAACCATCTGAAATTACCATTTTACAAGTAAGAAAATGATTGAACACTTGCAATTTCATGTGGTGCAACCTAATGGAAGACTATAGAATCTCAGAAAATGAATTTTTAATACTTATAGAACATGTTCGAAGTCTTCCCTAAAAATCATATATTAAAAGTTTCTTATTTTGAAGGAAAAAGAAATGAGAAGACAACAAGCTGTTCTTCTGAAGCATCAGGTCTGTATACATATAGTTATATAATGGTTGAAATGTACATTTTATAACTTTTCTTAAATCCATTTTGGGGAAAATCTTCAAAATATTTTCTTTAAAATTTCCAATATAATCCCTGCTTAAGTTTTTCCTTCATCTTACAGTTGATTGCCTTGCTTTGGTTTTGGTGTCTTTTGGGGGGTGTTGAAAATTGGTTTCATGACTCTGTGATTTCTGTTTCATAATGTTGTGCCAACTCTTTCTACCAGGAGTTGGAGAGGCATAGACTAGATATGGTATGGGTATGTTTATTTTTGTACATCTAACACCGCATTGTGATTTGGTTGTGATATGGTTGTCATAGCAATGCATAAAGTGTAGCACTGGCTGCTGTCATATTACATACTGCTGCATGGCTTTACAGCACAGTGCATTGCATACATCTGCTTGTCTGTCTATAAAGAAGTCTGTACATATCCATTTTAATTGAACTGTGCAAGCCTCGTATAAGGCTGCTGTCTAAATTTACATTACTGATGTCACAATGAAAGTTAGATCACTATGCAATTTGACACAATTATGACCCATACTCTCCCATCATCCTAGACACAAAATTTCCATTGAATACAATGGGAATTTTGAGTTAGGTTGATGAGAGAATATGAAATATATACAAATATATGTTTTATAGACAAATTTTAGAAAGATCCCTTTGGGGGGACCACATATATTTAAACAAAAAGAATTGATTAAATATTATAACTGCATTTTTTATCTTAAAAGAAACTGAGATTATCAAAAGTAACCTAGTACCTACCTTATTTTCATACTGTGACTTTTAGATTCCACTTACTAGCCCATGGTGCAGCTTTTATGGCTTTAAATAGTGCATCAAGTGGCAGACATCAGTAAATAGGAATATCCCATTTCATTGGTGTTGGTATATGAACCACGACCAGATTAAATTGGTATTAAAGCTTTAAAATAACTTTCGAATTTGTTGGTGGCTTATTGGATTTACAAAATGATAGTGTACTTGAAATAAAAATAACTAATTCTGAAACCATGAAGTTAGTGGTTATAAATCAATTTCTGCCTGATCTAAAAATTTAACAACACAACCTATAGCTTAATTGGCTATAGTACATATTTGTGGTTTTTCTAATAGCAGATGTAAGGTAACTGACCTGTTCCAGCCAACCATTATGCTTTTTGTTCTGCCAGCTTTTGAAGGAGCATCACAACTGACCATAAGTAAATCTTGTATGCTTCTGTTTACACTGTCTCCATGTTCATTGCTTTATCCTTTTGCTTTTGATTGTTCTTGTATTTGCTTTCTAAACTGAACTAAAACATGCACAGACTGGCCATTTTTGTCTTATATTTAGTATTTACTGTGACTTGTCTATAAATGCTAAACATGCTATACTGAGTTTTGTTTTGTTTTGTTTTGTTTTCCATTTGAAAGTCAAACTACGAAAATTAACAATAGTTGAGTTATTTTCCTATTTTTATCTGGCCTAATAGGAACGAGAGAGAAGGCGACAACACATGATGCTTATGAAAGCTATGGAAGCTCGTAAGAAAGCAGAAGTAAGTGTATGTTTCTAGAAAAATGTTACCTTGTTATAAATGCATATATTTTTCCTAAAGCATTGGCTTTTCTAAATATAAATTTTTTTAGATGGGTTTATCTTGATTTATGGGCTTTCATAAGCAAAGCAAAGGCTAGCTATATAACACTTAGAACATAAAAGAATGCAGGAAGGATTTCAATGTATGTGTTAATTTTTTTGGCTGAGATTTTAATATCTTTTTTTAATGTAGAAAATGGCATAGCTTTGATAAAAGTGGCTGTTTATTACTGTAACCAGAGTTTTGCAAAATTAATATTACAGCATGCCTAGGCGGCAAGTCCTGTGTGTCCTAATGCAAACACTAGTCAGCCCAACCATGGACCTCTGTCCTCCCAATTATCTTTAGCATTCTATGTGTAAATTAGGCCTAAGTGCGTTCCTTAAAATAGACTTTTAATAGATAATTCAGAATAAGAAAATTATTGAATAAAGTCAAAATAAGTTTATTTGGCATTTAGTGGAAATCAGCTAAAGGTTAAGATATATGTCACAAAGGCCTTTATTTTGTGTTGAAGCAGTTGAATAGCGGTATGGCCATTATAACATTTGAGAGACCCAGATTCCATGCTGCCTCTGAAGCAACTCGCTTTTCCTCTTCAGGCTCATCTTTAAAACTGAGATGATACTTGCCTCCTCGGATCATAAGATGATCAAGTGAGATAAACATTTAGTGAATGAGAATTAATGAAAAAGACACTGTTTGATCTAGAAGTTGAGAGACCTGTGTTTAGTATTTTAGCCTTTCTCTGGCTTCAACTACCAATTATAGGTCTCTGATATGTAGAGGCAGTGTGTGTATTATTTAGGAACCCGGACTTTATAACCAAGCTACCTAGGTTCAAATTCTGGTTTCAGTCCTTTCCAGCTATATAACCTTGGGCAAGTTATTTAACCTCTCTGTGATTTAATTTTTCATCTATGAAGTGGAGATTATGCTAATTCCTATCTCATAGGATTTGTTGTCATGATTAAATGGGTGTGAATGTGTGTGTGTCAAGTTCTTGGAACAATGCCTGGCACAACATAGTGCTTACAATCGCTTATTACTGCATGTTTGCTCTGTGGAGTGAGCCTCGCAAGATGTGTAGCCAGAGTTGGGAACTACTAACATCGATTACCTCTAAAGTCTCTTCTAGGAGTCACTTTATATGACTTTACTAAGGTTTATGGAAGTTTTGCCCTAACATTTTTCCTACTGTCTCCCCACACCAACTTGTTAATTATCCAGGCCCATTTACACCCTCTTACCTAACACAATAATGGAATGTATGCATGGATTTATAACCCTTATCTTTGAAAAATGACAGGCAGGGAAAGAGGCAGGTGACAAATCTCAGGACTTGGCAGTGGATGCTATCTCTGTTACCTTCTGAAAGCAGTATGATGGTGGGGAGATTAGGGAAGGGGGCTAATTAAAATTCTAAAAGCTCAACCTAATTTCCTCCAACCTGGAAAGATGGAATCTGAGGAAGCAACTAAGAGCAACTCAGGAAAAAGATCTGGAAGATCCCTCAAGAGACAAATTCTTCCCTACCAAGTATGCTGCTTACCGAAAGAAGTAAAAAGAATCAGGGCTTGTCATTCTGATTTTTCCTGGTGGGGAGGAAAGCGAAAGAAAGGGAGAATAATGAAAATAAACCAGCACATTATCTCCAGACATACTAGGATTTATTTGAAAGGGAGCCCCAAGAGCATAGTAAGAATAAGAGTATCTAAAGAAGTGAATGCTCATGGAACTCAACACCAAAAAAACAAACAACCCAATTAAAAAATGGGCAGAGGATATGAAGAGACATTTCTCCAAAGAGGACATACAGATG